CCCGCTCCCTCCTCCGCGCGTCGTCCTCCCGCCTGCGGCGCTCCCTCCTTTCCAGCGGGCCCGCCGCCGCCGCCGCCGCCGCCGCCGCCCGCTTCCCGCTCCCTGGCTTTCCCGCGCGTCCTCCCCGCCGCTGGCGAGCCTCACCCGGGTTGGCCGGCCCGGCGCAGCCCGCACGGGGCGCCGGGGACCCAGGTTCGCCGAGCACGCCTGCCGGGCCTGCCTGCGGGAGCAGGGGAGCGGACACGCCGGGCCGCGAGGGGGCCGGAGCAAAGTCCGTGGCCCAGGGACACCCCGGGTGGAAGGAAGAGCCAGCCAAGCAAAGCCAGCCCCAGCCCCCCACCCCACCCCCCGCCCCGCCCCAGTTCCCCCGCCGGAGCTGAACCTTCACCCTACAGACTTTCCAGCCCTGGTGCGAGCTGCCACGCCCCGCTCGACTGAGCTGTTGCAGAGGTCAAGCCCCCCCCCCCCCCAACAAAAGGCTGCGGACTGTGACCCTCGCACCCCAGCACCCGGCCCTGCGCACGACTGTGAACGTGCGCTTTCATAAGGCGGAGAGGGCCTTACAATGAGTTGTACTTTCAAGGCCTGACCTCCTGACCCCAAGACTAGGCTAAAGGGGCTTCTGCACCAAATCCCCCCGGAAGAACCACCTAGGACCGTAGTGCTTACGACGCAAGCCTTTCAAAGGCGGCCACCCGACCCCGGGCACCCGATGACTGGGGCCTGGACAAAGCTGGTGCACTGAGTCCCTCCTTGGTCGGTTGGTCCAGTATTCTGGCCTGTGAGAATCTGGGCATAAACAGCAGCTCCTAAGAATCCACCATAAACTGAGACCGGGCTGAAGTAAGCCATACCTGTTGAGGCCCGCTGGGAAGCCAGCAGAGGTTTCAGAGCGGTTCCTTTGACCCGCAGAGTTGATGGTTGAGCAGAAAAACACTTAAACTACCATTTCATCAACTATTCTTAGGATTAAACCCGTTGATGTCCCTCTGGCTGAAGTGGCTTAGCCGGAACCCAGAAACAAAGAGCTGAATGAGAAGGCAGTTTCTCCTAAAGCGCCGTGCTAGTTTGCTAACCAGGTGCCTAAATTAACATGATAAAACTTTCCTCTAACCATAGGTGGTAAGTGAAAGTAAAGCCTCTGAAAGATAACCCACGCAGTATAACTTTATTTTTCTACTAACTTTTACCCTGGCATAACTTGACACAAACAATTGCGCGTAGGCTTATTGCATACACAAGATTCCCTTTATATTATTGCCTTTCCCCTTCAATTGGAATGTCTCATAATAAAAGTACATAAATATAAAATCAAATGGCTTCAGTGAATCTTGGTGTTTTTCAATTCTCATTGATTCTAATCATGTGGAAAGCTACGCAAGAGCTCAATATAAGTCATTTACCCTTTAGAGTACTCCCGGGCATACCAATAAATTAATGAGTACAAAATTATTAGGATCAACTAAAATGCTGAAAAGTAGAAAACTGAAAATTCTTACAAAGAGTTATATAAAGTATTCTGTGTTAGTAAGTAGAAATACTTTTGGTTTCTCCTCTAGAAAACTATGGAACAGACCTCTACCCTTAGCCCATCACAGACTTTGCAGTGCTGAACTGTTAGCCTGCGTTTGGAAAAAATCCGTGAATCTGTTAAAATAGCAATCCATCTAACAGCAAGGGGAAAAATTACATTCATTAATGTAAACCTGGGCTCAGCGGTTCCATCGACATCAAAATTTATTTATTAACTATTTATCAGTCTTTTCTTCGTTAACTAGCTCTATAGAAGCATTGCATCAGAAAGTGTGAATTTATGTAGTTCAATTCCCTGTTGCCTTATGCATATCAAATAGCTAACAAAATTATTTACCTTCCATCGGCTTGGGTTTTATGGACCGAGGATAGTTTCCTCTCAGCCCCTAGACCTCACAAATTTGCATGGCTGTTTGAATGGCATATTTACAGATAAGTTTTTATTTGCACAGAAGGACAGAAAGGTGAAGTGAAATTTGGTCCCAATGGAAACCTGATAGCTTCCCTGAACATATGGCTCATTGGGCTGTTACTTCCTTTTTGAGATCATTTTCCAAGATTTTTTTAATATATACATCAATTTGACACCAGTTGTAAGGAAAATATATTGGTTTCGAAGATGCATCCACCTGGGGCATATCTTTTAATAACAAAGCATGTAGTCAGGTGTACCTCGGAATTTACAGGTCGTGGTGAGCAAGGCATACTTGAAATCCAGTTATCACTGACAGCTGATTTACAGTCTTCACATTGAGTTAGTTCTGTAGGTTCTTAGAAAGCCACAACTAGGATGATTAATGCAGGGTAGGGGTGAGTGCAGAAAACTCCTTTTGGAAGGCCCTGCACTTGGGATACAGGCTTACAAAGATTTTTCTCTGTAGATACAAATGATGTAAGTCTCCTTCGCTGCAAGTGTGTGGTGCCAGCTTAAGACTTCAGGGGAAAATCACGGCACTGAAAAAGATGTAAATGTTCGATTGGTAGGAAAGGGGGGGACCGTGCTAAAACATGTGCCTATTTCCATTATGCTTAATTTACTATTCAAGACAAGTTTTTCCTAATAAGCTCTATTGTTTCTTTCTGTTTTGTAAAATTTAGTATGTGTGAGACAAAAACCAGATTCAGAATGTGAATGAAGTCTGCTTAGGGAAAGACTATTGGAGATTGTGGTTCAAGAAAGGCCTCAAATGAAAAGAGACATCACCTAACACCACTGATACAAACAGTACTGCCTACTTCCTCCAGCCTCAGAATGCCCCTTTGATGAATTCATACACTTCAAAGTGCACCAAATGCCCAAATATTCAGAATGACGGCGCCATGTCTTTTTACTACCTAGCTTTAGCTCTTGGTTCATTACAGTCTTCTTCCACTGGCCTTGGATCAAAACTAGGAGGAAGGTAAGATCTAGGGCATGTCTATATCTGTGAAAGGTGCAAGTCTTTAAGTCATTCACACCTCTTCAGAGACTCGGCACCTTACTATGGAATCCCTTCATAGGTAACCAGTGCCACATGCGCGCGCGCGCGCGCGCGCGCACACACACACACACACACACACACACACACACACTTCCATTTGAATATGTCCCCTTGCCATCTAGAAAGCCTAGATAATCTGGAGTGTGTGTCCTTTCTTATTAAAGGCTCTATAATGAATACACTGAAAAACTAACTTACTGATATTATTTGTTTGAAAAGAGTATATAAATGATGTTGTCACTTAATTCAAAGTTGTTTTCACATTAACAATGCCTAAAAGATGGCCCAATTCAATTTTCTTGGTGTCAGAGATGGGGGAAACTATACCCAAAGAGCATAAATGAGTCTCTCAAAGCACTTAAATGAGCTAGAACTCCAACCAAGTCTCTCTTAGACCGTCAAGCTATGATCTTTTTTCCATAAAGTCCCTCTCACGTGTGCATACACAAACATACACAAAGTATACTTCCCCTGACTTTACACTGAGCTTCATAAAGAAGTTAAATCCATCCCAAAGACTTCTGGTTCAAAGACACTAACAATTAAGCCAGGTGTAGTGAGCAGGGTGGGGAGCCTGGCAATAGAGTGAGGTTTGCTGGTTAGCCACCACCCTGCACACACACACACACACACACACACACACACACACACACACACACACGCAAGGGCCTCCGTATCTCTCTGTTGGAAGAAGAGGCGCCGTCATTGCTGAGTGGTCAGCGTTTCTCAGGTTGGCTTGGGTGAGGATATAGTATCGGAATGAACTTTTATCATTTGAAATGTTTCAGGAAGGACAGACCATACAAAGGATTTGTGCCTCTAAAATGCTCAATTAACCCACACCATAACTCCCAAACCACGATGCTAACTTCTGCTAATCTGAATTCTGAACCAGGGGTTGGAGTCCCCTTAAGGAAGAAGAAGAAAGCAAAGCAGTATGAGCTCGTGCAGGAAGGAGGCACATTCTGAGGCCACATGTGCTGTCCTGCTAAAGGTTGCACTTGGCTCCAGTTGGTCTTCCCTGTCTGTGATGGCCCTGCAGCTCAGGGGGAGGTCTCAGCCTTACATTATCTTCCCTCGGTGTTGGCGAATCAACTCTGAAAACAGATCTCATTAGACAAATAGTTTCTCCATTTGCAGTTGTTAAATAGCACTAAGTGTCAGTGAGAAAGGGGCATCCTGTGTGGGTGTATTCATACAATTTCCAGCAATTGGCTTAAAAGGCAGGCTAGCTCACTGGGAATCCAAAGAAGCCAGAAGGATGACAAAGCTTGCTTGAGAAAGCTCTCCCTAACCAGGGGCTGGGAAAGAAATGTAAGTAGCAGCGGGCTTCCCCTTCCTGCCTAAAGCAACACACACACACACACACACACACACACACACACACACACACACACACAGCCTCACTGCTGTTTGGTATTTTTTTTTTCCATGAGGATTTACTACAGGCATTTTGAAAGCCTTTCCTTGAGCATCTAGAAGACAGTAAATGAGATTTATTTCTGGATTAGAACCTTTGATAACTTTCAAAGCAGGTTTTCCTCTGCCCTTGATCTTTAAAGTTTCCAGGCCCCAACTTTGTTTTCTTTCACAATAAACACTAAGAGGCAATACTTCTCTATACAAAGGGTTAGAACATTACCTACAATGCTAACAAGGGTTCTGTTGTGATGGCCAGAGATGTGGCAAGAACCAGTGAACCAACAACCCCAAGGAAGGAATCCTAGTCCTAGTCCCTTTCTTTATAAAGAGGCAACGATGACTCCGCTTTCTCCAAGCTGTCCATCAGAGCTGCCCATCGTCTTCTCTACCACACAGTGTACTTGGAAAACTATCTCATAGAGGCAACTAATTTTCAAAGGAAAGCTGGTAAAAGCATACACAGTGTCAGGATTGCATCAGAGAATAATCCTTGATGCCTACCAGTATAGCTTCTTCAATAAGGGAGTTGTGCAGATTTAACCAATAAAAATACAGGAAGCTCAATGAAATTTGAATTTATTTATTTATTTATTTTAGGATGAGTGTGCCCCACACTAATTGACAACTCTATTTTTAACATCACATGGACTATAAAGACATCCAACCATTCCACTCTTAAAGAGAGTCTTCCCCTAGGGTCTGGGGAAATAGGTGTGCAATCTGAAATTTTGATGTTGCCTCCCGTTCACCAGACAGCCCGGACCTCTCCGATACTGATGTGCTTAAACAAAGCTCTGTGTTGTTTCCATAAGAGTTTAAACCACCTCCTTCCCAGGAAGGTGAGCTTTGAGAAGGGCCTACCGCAGTGCTTCCCTTCAGAGTTCTGAGCATCTTTCTTGTCTCTTTCCTGCTGCCTCAGGTGGCTGGGAGGGACACACCTGAGCCTTCTTGACTCTCTCTTCTGACCCAACTGGAAAGCAAAGCTGAGGCCGAGGAGCTGGGTCTGTGAAGAACAGAAAGCCAAGGAGAAGGCCCCAAGGTCCTATCCAGTTTGTGAGTGCAGGCTTGAGCGCCCGCCCGCCCGGTAGGCCTTCCTGAGGCCTGAGCTGGAGGCCTTCTTTAGGCCGGCTGCCCTTCTTTGGGTCAAGCTCAGAGGCTAAGGACCTGGGCTGGAGCGTAGGTGCCCAGGGGCCCTTGCAGCCTGGCCGCTGCCAGGCTTGTGCACGGCGGTTCTTCCCTTCATTTGTTGCATTGTTTGCATTAATATGAATATCTTGTTCTGTTTGTTTTGTCTCCTGGGAGCCAATAAAGCTGTGAGTTTTTTCTTTACACCAAATGCATCTCTACGGGCGATCAATCAATGGGTAGTCTTCGGATAATCTGTGAGAGTGAGAAATCTAATAAAGCTAGCGACTAAAAAAGGAAAAACCAGATCTATTTTTCTCTTAGGTTGACTACGTCAGGATTAGTGCGCTCCACTTCCGCTGCTTGAGGTGGGTTAAACTTTTAATGGATTTAAATGTCGAGGTGGGAGGGAGGAGAGCCGAGCGGGACGAAGGAAAGAGGGCCTCAGGACCATCAGGGATTCTGAGGTTGGTGGGTTCTTGCCGGAGGAAAAGTCCGTTCTTTCTAAAGTCACAGAAAATGAGAGAGATGTCGAGGTCTAATGAAATACACTCCTCCAGCGAGAGCCCCGTCGCAGGTTTCCAAAGAGAAAGGAAATGTACATGGATAATGAACTCAACTAAACAATGAGAAGTCAAGTGTCCCTGCCCCTCACCCTGGTTCACCAAACTGAGCACACCAAATCATTTTCTGGGAGGTGCTCCGCTGTCCTTGGCAAGACAGGAAAGCTCAGAATCTGCCTGGGCCGCCACCGTGATCCTCACAGCACAGTGCAACCCAAATCATTTATAAACAGACCAAAATAACTATCTGAATTATCTAATATTAACAGCCGAACGGATGAGCCCAAGATTATGTGACGAATTGTTAAATCACAGAAGCATTGTTTTGGATTGCTAATTAAAAAAAAAAATAAGCAAACCCCATGACTCTAGATATGACAACTGAAAATACCCACAAATTATTTAATAAATGAAGCGTCTAACAACTTTAACACTTCCTGGTCGCCTTGTTAATAAATGTAATTTGAGGTAGATTTTAAAAATCTTCCATCTAAACAGTGAATTCATTACGCGCCATTCAGCTCTCTGGATGCCTATGGACTTCTTGGAATTAGGTGTTAAACAGACAAAAGTGAACCAAACTGCCTTTAAAAGCACAGCATGACCATGTAATTCTTTTTCCAGTTTGTGGTAAAAAATGATGAAACTTCTTTCCAAGTAGCTATCACCCAGATTTAGTGTGAAAAGTAGTGTAATTGTAATTCACGCCATCAGGGTCTATCGCTGATAGACGATCAGCTGTTCTGTGGTGGGAGAGGCTTTCTTTTCAAATAGGAAAGCTGCCAAGTGCTCCGCGATACCTCCAGCTAGCTTATCGGATTGAGTTCAGAGCCAAAACAGCAGCTGCACACATATGCAAATTGGCAATTAATAGTATAACATTCTGCAAAAAAAAAAAAAATGTTTAAAAAAATTTTAAAGAAAATAGAAAGAGCTACCTGCACATTAACCTTCCCTGTAACTGGGACTTCTAAGATGAATGACTAAGGATTAATTACCCTCTGGAGAGGGCTGGCTCTTTATTGCCTTCTCTTCTTGTAGATCAAGTCTTTGTTGTCTCTCCGAGTTTTGCCTGCTTCGTGGAACACAATGGGCTCTGAAACAAGAAGTTTAAAAATAACTTTAAAAAAGACCTTATGTGTTCAATTCCAGGAAAGACAGGAAGTCGGTCCCGTTGACCGTTCTTTCCATGCGCAGCGATCACAAAAGCAAGGGCTTTCGCATCCTTGTGAAGTGACATTTTGTTCCTGGTGTTAGCTCCTTCCACTACAGCTTGCAGTGGGGACACACTTCACATCCCGGGGTGCTGCTTGCCTCCCTTGATTTCTGTCTGTCTCTTCCCCCCACTGACAGCAGTGCCATTCCTATGCTTCACACAGCAGTTTGCAGCAATCCAGCAAGGTTTATGGGTTATGTTGCCCAGCATGTATAAACACAACACTCAATGTTTCTTAAAAAGCCAATTTGTTAAATTTTGTATCACCCCTGTTTCCCCACCCCAATGCCTCTCTCTCTATCTCTCTCTCTCTCACACACGCACACATACACACATACACACACACACACACACACACACACACACACACTACATTGTTTTCCCTGAAAAAAATGATACTGTAGTCGTGACTAGAACGAGGTCTGCAACCTAAGCCCCTTGAAAGGGCCTGCCATTCCTCCCAGCAGGCTTTCCCCTTGAACGCCTAGAGTCTTCACTCCATGCTCCTTTCTTCATTCTGAGTCTCTCTACTAGGGTGAGAGTGGAGTGGCTAACCAAGGTATCTATGAATTTCCCCCCACTACTAGCAGTTGAACCCAGGGTTTCAGTCATGTGAGTTAAGTACTGTACCCCAGAACCACATCCCCCACATCTTGTGGATTCTAACACTTCTGTGGCTGAAGGTCTCCTTGTTTCTGGGACATTCTGGGTCCTTGGCATTTCCAAGTTCTTGGAGTTCAGAACTCGGATCAAAATCCTGATTGCCCTTAGTATTGAAAGGAGAGCAAGTTTTATCTCTTTTATTTTTCTGGCTCTTAAGAGGTGAGGGTGTGTCCTCCCCCGACTGTGACATGCAGAGCAGACTTGAACCCATCCTCTCCCTTTCTCTGTTGAGCACCTGTGCTTCTGCACGCCATTTTGTCGCAAATGATCGGTGTCTCTGCTTTACAAATACCTCTCTTCTTACATTCTATGAAGACTTCTCATCTGAGACGAATTTTGGGTTCCTGATGTTCCAGTCAAAAGGATACCGCACACTTTCATTGCTAAGATAGGCTTTGAGCTTAGATGCTAACGTTTTTTTTTATAGGAAATACTCACGTAAATTTCAATGTATCTGTTTCCATTTTCTAGAAAAATATTTGGGATGATGAGATATTAAGCACTGAAGGCAATGTGGGACATAGACCTTTTTCCCCCTCTGAAGAAACCATCTCTGAACCAGTCCAATGCAGTGTTTTAGATATGATTAAGTTTCTCTGATCTCAGCAGAAGTATTCTATGCCCAGAAGACTAAAATGTATAGGAAGAAAATGATCTTACCGAGCTTAACTTCTATGCATAAGTATTGTTTTTCTTAACTTGTGATCCAATTTGAAGGCATTGTTAGGCTTTTCAGTTTTCTTATGATTAAATGAAGAAAGGTTTAAAAAGCGAGAAAGTCATTGAAAAGTTGCTTTTGAATAAAACAGAAAAATGGGATTGCCAACTTTCTCTATAACTTCATTAGCATGGCAGTATATACATTTGCATGTAAAATGTAGTTAACAAAAATTACACAGAGGTAAATTTAGTCCCCTTGTGCCTACCTCCATGGTGAAATCAGACCATTTGGCATAGTGTGAAGTCTTCCAAGAAGCCTGGTTTCCACCTGGAAAATAAATTACTAAATTTGAATGTGTTACTTATATTATGGTGAGTTGTCTATCTGTTACATTTTATTTTAGTGCATATACTAGAAGTTGTATTTAGAATGTTCTAAAATTGTCATCTGTCAAGGTAGAGAATTATAATAATATAATTATATACAGAAAAAGTGTCTGACTTTAGATTGTTTTGATGCTGTTGCAATTATCATATACTTTTTAAAATTCAGAGTGTGTATCATAAATTCATAGGTTTAATTATCAGACTTTGGCAGTAATTTAGATTAGCCATAGCAAAGTTATTCCCTCCTGTCCTTTTCTGGGTGCTGGGGATTGAACTCATGGCTTCACACATGCTGTGTGCCTGCCATTGAGCTATATCCCTCCCCAGTGTCCTTCACATTCACAGATATATAGAAAATACTTTTACATACATAGTGCAGCAATATCTACTTGTATTTCCATTGCTTTGTTCTCAAATAATACTTAAAATGTTTCAACTGAAATCATTCAGATTACTATTGCATTCTCAATCTGCCAGTATATCTTGGTGTTGTAAATGATTTAAAAAAAATTGACTCCAAGTTATAAAGACCTCTTTGGGGATGGATATGGTAGCACACATCCATGATGTCTGTACTGGAGAGACAAAGGCAAGAGGAACCAAAGTTCCAGGCCAGCCTGGGCTATATAGTGAGGCCCTGCCTCAAAAAGTAGGTCATTTTGAGTAGTCAAAGAGTCTATGTTGTTTACTCTCAAGCATCATAATGACATTATTGGTGAGATGTCACAACTGGTGAAGACAACACTCAGTGAATTTCTCAAGAAAGAGAGATACCGTCACTTTCTGATGATGAAGAGGGAGGAGGTATAGTGAGGGACCATGGCTTAGTAAACAGCCATTGACACAGCTCATGAAAAGAAGATGTACAAGTTCTTCATCATCTCAAAAGATAGTGAGTTAATCTCCTGCAACAAGCCGGTTTCCCTTCTGAACTATATATTCTGCAAGTAGAATTAACCAGAACAGGTGTGGTGTTGGCATTCTGTACTCTTATGCAGAAACTATATAACCCACTACACTGTACCAAATATGTCTAATTATTACACTACCTTCACAATAGTTACAATTCTTCTGTTTGTCATTTCAAAGCTTCTGACGGGCTCTGTGAATGCAGGTGAATATATCATGGATACGACCTTCTGTGTGAGTGAAAGGGAGAAAAAAATCCTGATTCCTATTTAAAGGTGCTACAGTTGAACAATATGGTGTTAAAAATATTTTCTTCTGCACAAGGCATTTGTTTTAAAGAATATATCTGCAGGATTCATGACACAGCTAGACAGTAAAGGAAATGAAGATCCGTTACTTAATATGAAAGAGGATTAGCTTAGAAAATCACACCCTTAGGAAACTTAATAGTGGACTATTAGACTAAGAGGCAACAGTAGAAGAAAAAAATAATGTCTTAGTTAAACCCTTTTGCTGTGGTAGACACTTCACTACATTTCCTAATTCCATTTTAATAGCCACCTTAGGTTTAAATCACAAGGCTAGCCAGGAATGAGTCCCTGTGCCTCCAGGGACCATGGACAGCCTTATCACGTGCTGCAGCTCCCCTGTGGTCACTAAAGTACAGAGATTGGAGGAGGTTTGAAAACTCTTTTCCTACTCCACAAATTTTACAGCACAGTCGAGGTCCATTTGATTAGGAAATATTCCCACGACTAGAGACAGCACTGCTTTGGCACATGCATGAAGACGAGCGATCTACACATCCATCCTCAAATTTAGCAATTCGAAGCAGTTAGCTATGCGGACAGTTTTGTATGCATTGCTAAATGCAGACACAAAAACTGCATTTGCAAAAAGAGGAAACCCAGTTAAACTAGGTTGCAAATTTGGCCCTAATTTAGCGTAGCATTTGTGATACATATAGGTTAGAGTGACATTTATATAATGGTGTGAAATATGAGAAAGCTCCAATGCTAGACACAAAGACTTTGACGATTGCTTTTGCCTACTTTGGTTAGTTTCAGAAACAGGAGGGAGAATTTGGTTTTTCAAGTGATGGGAAGCCTTTAAGGATGTTGGAACACTGTTCAGTCCCCTGGGGTTCTGCCTGCTGTACAATTTTAAATGTCTTTTAGTTAAAAAATTGGCCAACAAGGGAAACATCGAGATGAAATCTCTTCTTACTTAGCTGGAAAGTGAGAAACTATAGGGGGCTAGACAATCTAATTGTGATAGATATGTGGTCAGCTCTGGGGGTCAAAGAGCCGACAAGGCTTCTCCGTAACAGTAGTTAATACATCTACCCGACTGGAGAAGCTACATGCATATTATAATTCACTTTGGAGAGTCTGTCCTTATGCTTGGTTGTAGACAAGATATATAGCCAGAAGTGAGACTAGATAAATACACCACATTTCACACAGACGCTGCCATCCCAGTACCTGACGCGCTCCATCTCCCCGCTGGAGGCCACTGGAGGGCAGTATTTTCTCCTCTGGGAACAGCACCTGGTCTTTGGGCCAGCTCAAAAGAGATAGATGAGTGGGCCCTTGTCACTTAGACTGTTTGGGGTTTACCACTCCTGTTTACATGTCATGGAAGTTATTGCTGATACGACACCGCCAGCCAAACCACTTGTGTCTAAGACCAGACTCCAATAGAAGATCCTGTACAATAGTTACTATTTAAGAGACTTCTAAAGCTATTAATTAATCATCTGAGCACTGTGTAAAACTGATTTTGTTAATTTAAGTGGGACATGAAAGAAGATGTCTAACCAAGAGTGAGTAATGTTTGCTAGAGGCTTGGCATTTGACAACTTCAATATTTCATTAAGTTTACAGAATCAATCCTTGTATTATATTTAACATGTATATATGCTTTAAACTATTAAGTCAGCATTTTCTAGAAATAACATCATGAGAAATTTCCTCGAAGATATTCCTCATTCTTTATCATGCACTTTGCTTCCTATCCCTAGCATCATAATGTAGGGAAATATTTGGATTTTTTTTTTTAAAGAAAAAAAAATCCGGCACTTTAGCACATATCTGTAATCCCAGCACTTGGGAAGTGGAAGCAGGAGGATCAGGAGTTCAGGGTCATCCTTTCTACATAGCATGTTCAAGCCCAACCTGGGCTACATGAGTCACTGCCTCAAAGATTAAATAGATAGGTAAATAATCTGTTGTTCGGGGTTAAATTATAAAATTATACTTACTTATAGGTTTTCTTTAAAAATGAAGCTAGATTATTACTACAATCTGGTAGGTATGGGATAATTAATTTAACCTTTACTTAAAGACATATAGTGATAACTGAATTGTTTTCATTATAACAGCCATTTGTATAATTTCTTAAATGAAAATAGCATTTATTTTGTATTTGTAGCTTTTTCCAAACCAAAGATTGCTAATTTTTTGTAAAATCAACATACAGTTTTTAATCTGATGTTTTATTTTGTTTCATTTTTTAAAATAAAGTGCCTAGATGCTTGGCTGGTACTTTGCCAACATGCGGCAAAGCAACCAGTCACTTGAGGAAAAAACATACATCTCAATGTCTATGCCACATGGTTTAAATTTTTTAATTTTTAACATTTTTATTATAAAAGTAATACATATTCATTGTGGAAATTATAGAAATAATGAAAGTTATAAAATATACCAAAACATTACTTGATACCTCATAAATATGTACAATATTTACATGTAAGTTAAAAATTTAAAAATACAGAAATAAAATAATAATCACATTATCTTTTTTTAACTATGGTTAATAAAGTTCATCCATGTTGCACATTATCTTTCTTTCCAAGGTGTGCTTGTGTGTGTGTTTTGAGGATGGACCGAGGACCCAAACAAGCTAGGCAAGTGGCCTGCCATCGGTACCATATACACACAGCCCACCTAATTTTCCTGTGCTGTAAACAGTGCTGTGACAAGCTGTTTTGTAAACAAATATTTAGATACATCTGTAATGTATCTCTTTTATATAATTTTTCTAAAATTAGAATTTCAAAGATTAAATTGTCTATTTTACCTGTTTCAGTACATAAACTGAAGAGTCTTCCAAAAACAGAAGTGTATGTGAATGCCCCTGTATTCACATCTTCATCGGCACTAAGTGTCATCAGGTTAGCCTTCTGCAAACTGACAGCTGAGAAAAAGGATGTTCTTTTGCATTTTGTTGCTTTATGTGAAAAAAAAACAAACAGTGCTATATAGTCATTTGGTAATAGTGATGTTTTAACAAATCCGACGCAAATTTTGGTTTATTACATGAAGTGAGAGTTTGATTATCTTTTCAGTTGTTAGTTGATCGTTTCTGCGTGGTTTTTGAATGGCACATTTCTCTCCAACTGATTTAAAAAGACATCACAATCCAACCGAAAGCTTTTATGGTTCAGGGTCTGCTCCTGAGATGAATTTCTGTTCCCCCACGTTCTCTCTCCTCCTGCCTCGGCCACAGTCTGAATTACCCACTTTCCATCGAATGTTGACGGTCCTCCTCAAGCACTTTCCAAAATGTGTCACTCTTGACTCTTCTCTCATGCACTGCAGAATGACTTTACTAAGTTAAAAAGATTCACTTGAGAACATATGTTTGGGTATGGAAAAATGCCCAAGATATATTAAGTGAAGAACAGTATGTATAACATCATTTCTCATAATGTGAAAGAGGCAGAAAAAGGAGAGAGCGTTCATGTCCCTGTGCATGTGAGTATGTGCCTTTCGGACGTTATGTGAGTGTGTGCCTTATGGATGCCTACAGAAGTTTTTGGGAAATGACCAAAAATATCATTAGCAATGTTTACCATTAGCAATAGTCAGTGGGAATGAATATTATACAGAGAAGAGGAACTTTTGCTTTTGACTATAAAGTCTCTTTACACACTTTAAGTTTTCTGCCATGATAAAGCATTTGTTTTACAAGTTTTAACAGGTCTTTTAAAAGCTGGAGCTTGCTGGGCATTGTCGTATATGCCTTTAGTGCCAGCACTGGAGAAAGCAGGCCAGATCTCTGAGTTCGAGGCCAGCCTGGCCTACCTAGAGAGTTCCAGGACAGCCAAGGCTACACAGAGAAACCCTATCTCTAAAAATCAAAAAGAAAATTAGCTGGAGCTGAAGGTCAGGCATGGTGGAGCAAGCCTTTAATCCCAGCAGAGGCAGAGGCAGGAGCATGGCTTTCTGTTTGAGGTCACCCTGGTCTACATAACCAGTTCCAGGACAGTTGGGGCTGCATAGTGAGACTCCGCCCCAGAAACAAATAAATAAATGAATAAATCCCTGGTTGAGAATGTAGCTTTGTTGGTAAAATGCTTCCCTCTCGTACAGAAAGCCTTGGGCTCGATCCCCAGAACCCCGTAAAAACAGCACAGAGGCTCACACAAGGAATCCCAGCGCTCTGCACACAGAGGCAGAAGGATCTGACATTTAAGTTTGTCCTTTACCACACAGAGAGCTTGAAGCCAGCCTGGGTCACGTGAGACACTGTCTCAGAAAAAAGTTAAAAAGCCAATATACACAAAAGGATAAACACTGCACACTCTGACTCATACGAGTAATCTAGAATAAGCCAGTGTCTAGGGATGGGGAGTGGGGCGAGAGGAGAATTCACGACTTTGTCCAGTAGATGCCAAGTCTCAGTTGTACAAAACGAAAAAGTTCTGGAAATGCACAGTGGGAACACCACTGAACTGTATAACTAAAATGGTGAAAGCAGTAAAGTCTACATAATTTTACCACAATTAATTACATTTCTCTCTGGGGAGGAGTTGGACTGAAGAGGAAGGATATAGGTTCGGATTATGTTTCTCATTTCATTTCTTTGTGGCCTGGATTTTTCATAAGAAAAAGTCTGTATTATCTTCATTATTGTCTTGGGGATAGGAGAATGGCTCGGTGGGTGAGAAAGCTTACAGAGCAGTCATGAGGACCTGAAATTTGATCTCCATCACCCATGTAAAATCTGAACATGGCTATGCATGCCTGTACACCCAGCACTAGTAGGGAAGGGACAGGTGGATCCTGAGAACTCCCCAGCCACCAGCATCACCCAGAGAGCTTCCATTTCAGCAAGAGACCTTGCCTTAAGGCAGTAATGCAAAGAACAGTAGATGGATATTTCATATGTCCTCCTCTGGTCTCTGCATGTACATTTGAGTACTTAAATGCAAGTATCACACAGCACAACCACTACACACACACACACACACACACACACACACACACACACACACACACACACATACACACACATGGTCTTGGGGGCTGGAGAGAGGGCTCAGCAGTTAAAGACACTGGCTGCTCTTCCAGAGGATCTGGATTCAATTCCCAGCACCACAGACAGCTCACAGCCATCTGGAACTCCAGTCCCTGGGTTTCAATGCACGGTGTACGGTGCCGTACAGAGGTGGTGTACAGATTTACGTGCAGATAAAACATCCACACACATAAACAAGCAAAATTGTTTTGAAAAAGATTTATTTTTTAAAAAATTATGGTCTTGTGAAGTCATGAATCTTTCTTTGTGTCGGTCCTCTACAAGCTCTGTAGTTTATTAGTTTATCTGAGCTCTGTATCTGCAGCTACAGTTTGATGTATAGAACTAGAAGACATATAATATATAATCCTTTGTGACTTAACTTGCTTAATGAAAAACAATTTTCTCATTTCTTAATCTTTAAATACTTTAAGTAAACTGTTTATGTTTAAATGTTTTGAATTTGAATTTTAAAACTAATCTGAAAGTAATCATTCAGTTCAAGTTTAGGGTAAAATAATTTATTATAGAAATATTCTAAGTTTAGTCAATATAACTTTTCCTCTAGAGGTAAACTTTTACTCATGGAAACATGGCTGGAGAAAATAGTTATTATAAGGAATATTCTGGGTGAAGAAATAATACCTGTTATTTTCTAAAAGGAGAAATGAACAAAAAATATTAGTATATATGTGGTTCCCATGAATAATTTATGAGAACCTAGAAAAGAAAATAACAGATATGACCTATTTTGAAGCATGCAGACTTTTCTCATATTTATGTATGATATTTCTTTTATATAATTATTTTTATTTTCAAAAGCAAGTATTTTATTGCTATTATCTCTAACTATAAATGTGTCCTAACCACAAAAAACATTCAAATATTTTTTTTAACCTTTATCTTATGTGTAAGGGTATTTTGCTGCATGGACATCTATGACCACATGTGTTCAGTCCCTGTGGAGGGTAGAAGAGGGTATCAGAGCCCGGGGGACTGGAGTTACAGATAGTTATGAGCTTCTATGTGGGTACTGGGAATCAAACCTGGGTCTTCTGGAAGAACAACCGCCAGTGCTCCTAACTGTCTTTCCAGCCAATCAAATAACTTTTTCTTTCTTTCTTTTTTTTTTTTTTTTGGTTTTTCGAGACAGGGTTTCTCTGTGTAGCTTGTGCCTTTTCTGGAACTCACTTGGTAGCCCAGGCTGGCCTCGAACTCGCAGAGATCTGCCTGGCTCTGCCTCCCAGTGCTGGGATTAAAGGCGTGTGCCACCACTACCCAGCTCTTTTCTTTTCTTAAGGAAATGCCTCACTATGTGGTCTGGGCTGGCCTAGAAATTCTCACTACTCTTCCTCAGCCTCCCACATTCTAGATAACTCCACTACATGTTCTTATATGAAGATCGATCATGTAAGTTTTCCTTTTTACTATAAATAGCAACAAACAACTACAGGTGACATGTGGCCTGTTCTTCAAGAATTAATTATAGGGGCTGGAGAAATGGTTCAGAGGGTAAATACACTGGTTCCTCCACCAGAGGACCTATGTTCAATTCCCAGCATCCATATAGCAGTCCCAGGGGATCAGCAGGCACCGGCACACAAGTGGTACACAGACATATATAGAGGCAAAGCACCCATACACACAAAATAAATGAACAAAACTCTTAATACATGTTTCACATACTTGTAAAAATGAAACTACACAATACACAGTTTTGTAGATTCCTTTATCTCTTGACATATAATTACTCTTAATCTTTCAGCATCTGTGAATATGGACCTTCATAATTCCTTTTTTCTAGCAGTGGATTTCATTATGGTATTTTCATAGGTGTATGAAATACATTTTGATCATATTCCTCTCCTACTCCCACTGATCCTCTTCTTCTTACCTCTAATCCCTCTTCTACTCTTCCCTCCCTCCCTCCCTCCTTCCCTTCCTACCTTTCTTTCCCCTTTCTTGTCTTTCATTTTTGATGACCCTGTGGATTTCATGAAGATTGATTGCAGGCTCCTGGGTGAGGAATTATTTACAGCAGCATTGGCTCCCTCTTTACCAGTGGTTATGTGGTTTGAAAGAAAATGGCCCCCAAAGAGAGTGGCACTATTGGGAGGAGAGGCTTTGTCAGCCTTGTTGGAGGAAGTATGTCATTTGGCAGGGGTGGGGGTGGGGTTGGGGCAGGTTTTGAGGTCTCTTCTGCTCGAGCTTCCCTCAGTGTAACACTGAGATGGTTTCCTGTCGCCTGCAGGATGCAGGACTTGCAGCGACTTTGCCAGCACTGTGTCTGCCTGCATGCTGCCATGCTCCCCACCATGATGATAATGGACTGAACCTCTGAACTCAACGTCAGCCGCAATGAAATGTTTTCCTTTATAAGAGTTGCTGTGGTCCTGGTGTCTCTTCACAGAAATAAAAACCTTAACCTTACAACCCTGAAACAATGTCTCTCCCTCCCTTCAATGACCATTAGTTGCCTAGAGATTATCATGGAGAGGCAAAGGCTCATGAGCTTCTTCTACCTAGATGCCATTATCTGCCTGTAATCCTTGGTGGAGGGTGGATGTATCTTGTCTCCTGTGAGATATTGACAGGCCCACTTTTGCACAGGTCTTGTGCCGGCAATCACAACTGTGAGATTTAGAATGCAGCAACAATGGTGTGTCTCAAAGACAAAGTTTCAACCTCACTCCTCCCTTCCTTCAGCTCTTACATTCTCGCCATCTGTCTTCTCCACTATTCCTTGAGCCTTTGAGAGAGTGATAGAGAAGTTCCATTTATGGCTGAACATTCAACAGCTCCTTGTTTTCAGCACTTTAAGCAGTTATGGGTCTCTGCAGTTCCTGCTGTCCACTGCCCAAGCAGCTTTTTCCGACCAAAACTGATCGTAGCATTACTCTATGGGTAGAAGCATAATTATTTAAATGGAAATTTGATGGGCATATCATGTCAACTTAGCAAGACAATCATGGTAGCTTTCCTACAAGGGACTAGGAGTGTCCCAGCCACAGGCTTTTGGCCAGATATACAGTATCAGACATGGATTACCTCCTGTGGAGTGGGTCTCGAATCTGAACAGAGTAGTTGGTTACCCCCATTGCTGACGGGCCAAGGGGCCCTTCTTCACTGGCCACCAGGTAGAATAGCATGCAGGGTACACAGCTGAGTGAGGCTGGACCACAGTTCTCTCTCTGCAGTCTGCATAGTGTCCTCTGGCACTGCAAGAGCTAGCCAGCAAGTAGGGAGGGGGTTCT